TTGTTACTGTTGTTACGATAATAAACCAAATCTGGATTATTCATTTTATATGGTTAATCATGAACAGCCGTTGAATCACAGATCGGATTCAAATCTGTTTAAAACCATACCCTTCATATGGCATCGAGAGTTGATAGTGGTCCTGTCGCAAGCCAATGATTGAAATAAAATTGAACCATGTGTTAGTCCCGAAATGACCTAGTTTGTGTCGAGTGGACGTTAAACCCAATTTCTCTCTCTATATATATATATAACAGTTAAGGCCTAAAGAAAGGCCTTCAATAGACAGATTTAGCTCTTGCATAATGTGTGTTTAAAGAAACCACCCATAATATATTTGAAAGGAAATGAAATAGGGTTTAACGTCCTATTATTCTGCACCAACCGTGCTAATGAAGATAGGAATATGGCATGACTTGTCGAATATGTCTAGCCTCGTTCTTCGAGTTCCTTGTTACAAATGGCACTGAAAAGCATTATGATACACGATTCGTGTACCAATGGCAAAATTTTTATTTCATCTTAAATATGGGATATCAGAAGCCCATTTTTCCCAGTAAGATCATAACGTCAGTGTTGATTTAAAATGACAAATAATTCGTGGTTTCAATGTCGAAGACTTTGGATGATATTAAGTTAGAGATTTAACTACTTTAAATCCATAAACAGGTGATTATTGCCTATGACCTATGAAAACAAGTTTAAACCTTTGCTACATTTAACTTTAATTGGTGATTGATCTTTTTAAAGTAGCTAAGTCTCTAACTAAATATGATCCAAAGTCTTCCACATCGAAAACACGAATTATTTGTCAATTTAAATCAACATTGATGTGATCTTACCGGGAAAAGATGAGCTTCTGATATCCAATATTCAAGACAAAATAAACGTTTTAAAATTGGTACACGAATCGTATTCGTTCGTGTACCATAATGCGTTTCAGCGCCATTTGTAACAAAGGACTCGAAGAACGAGACTAGACATATTCCACAAGTCATGTCAAACGGTGACCTCGTATTCTTATTTGGAGAGCATGCGCAATAAATACTATCGGTGTCCAGACTCGAATAACCAGACGCTAGAGATTTCCATTCGATTGAGACTTCTGGCGTATTTCGCCGAACATAAATGTTTTGAAATTGGAGTAAAAACGGAAACGACTGAATGTAAATCAGTTTATATACATTCATGTTACATTATTATATGCGTTGCTACCCATTTGTGGCAGTTTCTAGGGGGTGCCCGTTTCTAGGTCCCTTACAATTCTCATATTGTACGTTTGTTTTAATTAGTATGCACCAGTTAGATGCCAACTCACGGATTAAAAAGGAAATAGTCTTCTTGCTATCTAAAGACATGCTAAATTCCTCATCTACTTAACAAAGTGCAAAACGCTTCATCATAAAAGGAAATTATAACCTGAATGTCGCACATTTAAAGTTAACCTCGCATTGCACTTATACAGCTTCACAAATATAACCAGAACCCACAATACTAGAACAATGTTAATGAACAGACAGCAACAAAGCTAATGGGAAATTAATGAATACCAGCCATTTTATTCCAGAACACGTTCGTCTTGGAACTGTATTTGTAATAAATATAACGTCATGCTCATTATGTAACAAGTGCACGAATGAGAACATTATTATGTTTAGTATTGTAGCGATCTTGTGACAATGATTCGTTGCTGATAATTGGTGATAGTTCTCGGTAAGGACCCTTAAAAATACAGTTTGATTAAAGTTCGGGACTTGGAGATGTATCTCGGTCTCCGCCCAAAAGATAGACCATTACTACATGTACACAATTAGTGACAACTAGAAACCCTAGGCTAAGATGAACCCAAAAGATCAGGTTCAGTCACAATAAGAAACATTACAGCCAAATCTTGATGAGTGAATGTTTGGTCGAGCATCTAAAGGCAAGACGGAAACTAGAGCAAAACACTGAACAGACCGCAAATCAGTTTTTGAGAAGAATCACAGAACAATATTCCCTTAGTAGGTTTCTAACGTTCTTAAAGATGCATTATGTAGAGAGAGAGAGAGAGAGAGAGAGAGAGAGAGAGAGAGAAATGGGGTTTAACGTCCACTCGAGACAAACTAGGTCATTTCGGGACTAACATACGGTATATTTTTTTTATTTCGATAATTCGCTTGTGCGTAGTGGTCTTTAGTAGTGGGAGGAAACCGGAGGACCCGGAGAAAAACCACGAGGTTGGACAGGCGACCCTACTCCTTGTCACGTACAACCGGGGATTCGAAACCACGCCAGTTGACTCAATGACAGGCTTTATGATACAGCACGCACGTGCTAACCATTCGACCCCCCCCCCTCCTATGCATTATGTAAGATTTAGATAAAGAGCTGAACGTTCTTGCTATAATAGTTCAAGAATAGGTAATGAAATAAAAAATATTGAAAATTTCATTTAAAGTTCTTTATTCTGTGCGAAATTATCAGTGTTAGCGTAGATTGTTTATAATCGTTACAACGGTAGTTGACAATCGAGTCTAAGTATAGATTATCCATTTTTAAATTAAATTATTAAATTTTTCAGTCTATTTAAATCTAGTCCATCCGATGGTCTAGATAATTGATTATTGGCTTGCCATAAATGTCTAAATAATAGTTGAAGCTAAAATAAAGACCTGCAATAGGTATATTGAGCTCTTACATAATACATCCTTAAAGAAACCAAATAGTAGGTGAATAAATATAACCTTTTTTAACCACGCAAAATCTAGGACAACCATTAATGTATATATAGCCACTAGTTCATCTCCACCAAACGAAGTTGAACGTAAATCATGATTGATGTTTGCGTCCACGTGTAGTAATGGAAATCAAACGTTAAATAGTTAAAGATGTTTATGTCAGTAATAATTCATATAAATATTCATTAATTATAGTATGATTTATATCACAGCCATTGCACGCTTATTTACAGCAACAATTCTCCTTAATATGAATTAACGTTTTGGCAAGTTTTGTTAAGGGTGGGTGTTAGCATACTGCCAAATGAAAACCAAAACACCGTCTGTCTCTGTTACGAACTAATACTGTGCCATATATTTTTACATCAACAGTTTTTATATTGTCAGTTTGAATTAGTATTTAGCAAGATAATCTGCAAATAAATATAGGAACCACGGATAGTATCGTGTATATCGTCCCGGAATGCAGAACTGGTAAACGGTAAACGGTTGTCAAAGACAGGATGTTACTTAATTCAGAGCTTTAATCCCTTTCAAATAGTTTCATGACAGAAGCGGAGAAAAATCATTAAGCCATATTGTAAAGCAAGAAGAGAATTTCATCATGGCAGTGGTAATCTGCTTATGACTAATTTCAAATTAAAAAGTTTGCTGCACATAGGAACTGTAGTATTAAAAAGGAGTGAGGGGTAAATTTTAGCTTCCACTACCAAATGGCCGATCATCATAGAGGCTTAAAACTACAGAAGCCATGAAGATATGTATGTAGCAATATAAAATATAAGCCTTGATAAGTATTGAGATATAAGATTTCTTCTCACAACCGACTGTCCATACTGGTGCTGGCGATGCTTTCATGTGTCTAACCCTACTTTGTTACACGGTATACAATGATCTATGTTACAATAAGGGATAAACCAGGGTTTTAACGTTTAATACCATATCAATCCCTTAATGCGGAAACTTCCTCATTGGTCAGCTATAGCTGTCAGATATCCTTAATCATCATGTTACCATATCTGCGCATATCCGAAATAAACACCACAAATACTAAAACTAATTTAAAAAATCTCTAACAATATAAAGAAGACAGCGTAGAATGTTAAATTTTAAAAATGATTTCCTAATTTTTGAAAATAAAAATTCATAAGGAAGTTAGTTTTTTTTAGAATAAGAAAGTTAAGCTTAAATATATAACCAAATCTTAATATCAACTTCCTTTCACATTTAAACAAGAGGTATTTCAAGATCTTTATACATGTTCGTTTTGAAATAAAAGATATTGTTGATAGGTCCGTTGTATTATGCACCTAGGTTTAATCCATTCCTCAAGGAGTCATGCGCGGGGGAGGCATGCTTACAAGTTTTAGAACATTTCCGATTTATTATTACTCTTATTTCGAATTCAAACTACCAAGTGTTCTTTTACATGCACGTGGGGCCCTGGGTTTTCGTACCATCCGAATGACCAGGCACTGTCCTTGAAAGACCCACCGTCTTTTATCACTGACAAGGGGGAAGCACGCTGGAAAATCCCAAGGAACTTTCTCGGCCGACACAGCGGCCCTCCCGATGCAATTACAGTTTACGAGTGATTCATGTATTAGGTGGGGTGAAATGGTGGACATGTAGGTGAAGAAAATCCTAAAGAATTTCTAAGCTCTTTCCTACTTGGAAGGTAGGGGTTATCCGGATGGCTTAAAAGCCAATGTCGGAGTAGAACAGTAGTACGTATTAAAGATAAACAGATAGACAGAAACCCCGAAGTTTGGACAAAATCTTCAACGTGTACAGTACACGTAACTCCAATAAATACAAATAACCGTGTGTTAATGTCAAATAATTCATTACATTCTATTAAGCGAATGCTCATTCTTCAGAGACGTGAATAAACTGTACACTTTTCAAAATGCAATGGCTCAGTATAAGGAGGAGTTTATACATACAAATTTATACGGGAAAATGTCAGTTCTAAATATGTAGCAATGCAATGAATTTAATGTGGACTAGATGCTAACTATTTATTTTAAATGTCATCATATAAATCTATATAGTATGTAAAGGTTATGTAATATTAAACATGGCTCTGGATATTTTTTTTTTTTCTGTTAAGATTTTACAATCAGGAATTGGTACTGTAGAGATCTTAAAAGAGATATGGAATCACGCAGCACATCCAGCGAATACCACAGCATAAATGCATTTATCTTCGTTATCAGTGATCATTTGGCACAATGCTTTAATGACGGTGATAATTAACTAATTGTGTAAGTAACTTACCAGACTATCTGAATTGGTTACTGTTGATGGTGTAGTCGAGGTGGCAGCTACTTTCCATAGGAATATAAACAATAACAGTCTTAAATATAAGACCATCTTTATCGTAGTACTGAGTCCCATACACATCATCATCTATATAGTTTATATATGTATATACGTGCGCTACTATAATAAAAATCACTCGGACTGATATATAAATAATACTACAGCGCATTCACACAAACGATCGGGCAGCAAGGCCAGTGTCTCTTGAGGACGCAACCTCGACCGTTCACCAATGCTTACAAAGATGTCGGTTTAAAGGAACTCAGAATAATAACTGACATAATTCCCCTAACCATACACACACTCGGAGAAATTCCAATAATTACTAAGTTTCGCCAAAGTCAGTTCCATGCCACTGTATACATAACGTTCAATTATCGCAATACAGTTCCGTTAGCAGACGACGCACCTATTGTTTGTTTTTGAGGTTTAATCCACGCTTTCCGTTTTCGTATCGCTCTCGTTAAAATGTAATTGCCTATATGTATCTTAGTAAGTAAAGTATATATAGTGAATATCTAACAACTATAATTCACAGTGAAATACGTGTCTACCCTTTTACTCCGCGGCTTGTACTGTTAAGTCGATCTAGAGACCAATAGCCGTCTAATCCGCGTACTTATGTCGTTGACTGTTGAATGGCCGTAACACGAATAGTTGTATGTATTCTTAAGTTAATTATAAAGCTTTATAAATCATGTTTCATAGTGAAATTGATTTTAAAACTGCGGGTCGTTGTGTAATTGTGGGAAAATACCATCCATATAAGGAGTGACTATTTTAAAAGGGAAATCCCCTAGAAAATAGGTCACGCGTGCCCGTGATGTCATCCACTTGACAACAATAAAAGTTATTCGAAGATCCACACTACATAAATAACCATGCGTGCGTTATATTCAAGGATGGTATGATTGAGATATAGGCTTAACTACGATGTAAAAACTATCCTCACTGACACATAATAATGACTCGGGGAGGAGACGTGTGTAAAATAAAAAATATTTAGATGCTGACAACATTCGAACTCCGGAAATGTACATACTATCTGATACGAGTGATTCTGAATTCAATTATTCTGATTTTAAATTTCGTAGGCAGAAAGTATCCTAATATAGAAATAATTATATACAACTCATTCCATGATTCGTCATTTCCTTGATGATTGAGTGAAAGATGAATAATAATTTTTTCAGTCATTGTGAAACTGGGAAGTCGTTTCTAATATCCGAAAATTTAAAGAACATGGCATTTTAAAACTGTCAAAATCATTGTAGTAAATCATGCGTTCGTCTAAGATTAAAGATGCGTTCGCGCTTTGGAGAACTTCTCAGTTAAAATTAGATTGTATTTAAAATTTGAGACATATCCATGGTTGATACAGACGTTTTAGATTCCATTTTAATGTTTGTACGTTTTTCAGTTTGACAATGTTTTCTTTCATAAAAATTCTTTAAAATAAAGACCTTTTTATTACCCCGACTTTTACTATTTGCGACAGGTTAATATCTAAATTTTAATCTCTTTCACACTCTTCTTAAAGTTGAGCCCCTTAAAGAAATATCAGTCCAGAAATAAACAGAATATGGCCAAAACAAATCAGCCCCACCATACATGTATAATCTTGTTAAAATCTTTTAATGAGCCCCTTTTTATTTGATTGTATTCAAGCCGTTGACATTTTGATTTATTGATTAAATGTTAAATAATCAATTTAAGTACATGAACGGCTAATTCCGGTCATGAATGGTTGAATCAGGTGATGAACGTTATGTTCATAAAAAGAGAATAAGAGAAGAGCAGAAGAGAAGAAGAAGAAGAAGAAGAGGACGCGAACGGTGATTAGACCTGTATGGTGCTAGCACACGAGCTAGAAATGCAAATTTATGACGATCACCGACCATAAAGGAAATTAGCAGATGCGACATCTTATTTATCCACGCTTCGCATTCTGGAGAGAAAAATCCGTACAGGCATAACATTTGTATAATTTTCTTTCTTTCTGTACGATGACCATTCGTTTATCAGCGATGGTAATGCATGTCCCCAGCGTCTTGATAAACGATACAAATTTAACAACTCTATAAACAATCGTCGTCTATTCCAAATAGGGGTTTGGGGTGGCCGAATACTTAGCGCGTGCGCGCTGCAGCATAAGGTTTTTCTTTGAGTCAGCTGGCGTGGTTTCGTTTCCCCGGTTGTACGTGACAAGGCGTGGGGTCGCCTGTCCAACCTCGTGTGTTTTCTCCAGTCCTTCGGTTTCCTCCCACTGCTAAAGACTCCTACGCGCAAGCGAATTATTGAAATAAAACTGAACCACATGTAAGTCCCGAAATGACCTAGTTTGTGTCGAGTGGACGTTAAACCCCATTCCCCCACTCTCTCTCTCTCTCTCTCTCTCTCTCTCTCTCTATTACAAATACGTAAAGGGGTACTCTACACATTGTTGATGATAGTTTAATCTATCTCTAGAAATCAACAAGAAAAGAAAATAAGACAATATCGTTTGATGGCACAATAAGCTACATTTCTCAGTTTCAATTTTTAATGCAACATTTTAGAATGCCAGTGTGCTTTAAATCATAATATCCTAAACGTGTAAACAGTTTAATACAAAACACGTTCGTCTGAGAACACAAATCAAACGCCATAACGTTCTTTCGGAAAACCAGCGCATCGCAGAAATCGCCTTGAGCCTATTGCATGACTAACGCGACTATTCCTTATTGTTTGTAAACATTACCAAAATACTTATTACTCTCAGGAAAATACACATGACAGCCCCATCCCCACCCGAAACTGAAAATATAGTGGGAAACAATCACTGCGTACACGTCTAAGTTATAGTCAAGTTTATTTGAAATAATCTAGGATTTTTTATTTAAGTATATTTATCAAAAACAGACCAACCAGCATAATAACAGTAACGCTTCTTTTGTTATTGTATATTAATATATTATATCTGACAACTTGTCAGCATTGTTATTGTATATTAATATATTATATCTGACCATATGTCAGCTTTGTTATTGAATGTCGTAGCATGGACGTATATACACTGATTAATTAACTTATAATCTTCTTAACTTATTATTATCAGTACGGCATATCGTGGGTTTAATCTTCTCTCAAAGTAACGTGTAATTAGAAGACAAAAGCCAATATTGAGCCGACGTCTTCGCCATCTTCTACTGAACTGCTAATAGAAATAACGACATAACGTATTTATTTATTAGAACTTGGAGCTAAAAATATGTCGTTAATGCGATTCTATCTATTCACGTCAAATTATTTATAACCACTATCTCCTTATGTGGAATCAAATAGACACGTGACTGGAGATAAAAGGGGGGACAAGGAGGATGAATATGTCACTTAGACGTATATGGAGAGACTGATGAAGATATTGCGACATGTAATACATTGATTTCTCTATCAGTTCAAATTTTTCCCTCCATCTAGCCCTAAATCGTATAGATGTTTTTAATCTCCATTTATTTTTGTAATTTCTGTTTCGGGAGATCTCATCGCCCGCATCCGCATTAATACCTGACGATCTGGGATTTCCGGGGTACGTTGTTATAGTTCGTATCTATCTTTGTTCATTTTTATAGCGAAAGTAGCCGTAAATTAAATTTGTTAATCAATGGCGGTTGTTAGAGGTTTATATCCATTTCAAAATATACTCTTTTGGGCTGTTACGGACAGCCAGGAAACAGGAGATATTTCCGAAGCTAAAATCTAAATGAAAGGGAACCCTTGAGTGTTTCGAGTCATTCAGGATACCAGAGAAATTATATGTAGTTATTAAAATGGATATTGTAGTCTGGTGACGTACTATTAGTATTTATTTGAAAAATGAAACCGAAGATCTGATTGATTTTGCATATAAATAAGCGTTTGTTAATTTAACAGCTATTAAAAATGACAGGTTTATGTTCTTTTCGGTTTGATATTCAACTAACGGAATAAAGGATTTGATAATAAAGGATACAGTTTATCGCCTCAGCTGCCATTATGATTTTCGTTTGGACCACACTATACAAAGACTACACCTGCTCACGATATGCGAATAAATCATATAAAATTAACGCATATGCTACCTGTATAGTAATTATAGATGCAGATTATGTGCATATTTCATTGTGCATTTACTAGTTGCAAGATGTGTCGATCACAAACAATTACAAAGGAAACTCCAATTTCCAATTTTTTTGGATACGGTATATAGAAAACTGAACTATAAATGGTTAAAGGAGGCATGTCACCAAATCAATATCACCAAAAGTCTTCGACATTGCAAACAACACTGATGTTTTTATTTTACCATGAAAGAATGGGCTTCTGATCCAGTATGTAAGACAAAATGTTAAAACATTTTTAAATTGACACTCGAATCGCATCCCAGAATGCGTTCGAGCGCCATTTGTGATGAAGCGAATCGATGAACAGGGCTAAGCATATCCCACAGGAAAATACAACCGATGTAGACTGGAATAGCTAGAAACATAAGACTGTCAATTTACATAGAAAAATGTATCGGCACAGCGAGGTCTGGGTTACCCGGTGTAGGAGGGGGGGGGGTGTTCTGAAATTGGGAACACGGTTGAGTAAATCCATATTAACATTAGGCCGAGCGTGCAGGGACAAAATAGACGTAATATGTGCTTTATTCTGAACATATCATTGTAGCCAAACGCTCTTGTCACCACTGTCTTATTAGTTTACGGTTGTACGTGACAAGGAGTAGGGTTGCCTGTCCAACCTCGTGGGTTTTCTCCGGGTCCTCTGGTTTCCACTCACTGCTAAAGACCCCTACGCGCAAGCGAATTATTGAAATAAAATTAAAACCATACATTAGTCCCGAAATGACCTAGTCTGTGTCGAGTGGACGTTAAACCCCATTTCTCTTATTAGTTATTTTTGCACATCTAAACGGAACACATTTGCAGGCTTCCCAGCCTACGCTCAAGAAATAAAATTTAAATGACATTAGGTATATTAAGTACAGGACTAGGACACTATACCTGGTGCCAGACAACCAGTATATATACTTGCTTTATGAAAATAATGGTACCGTATATTAAGATTTTAAGACAAAATGGTGGGTTAATCGGTGCTAATGAACATACTCGGATTCTCCCAGTAAATTAAATTATATACTGGAACAAGTAGCTATCATGGTGAACTTAATAATATATTTAAAGCTACCTCATAAGAGATATACTTTACATAAGGTTACATAAAGTTCACACACGTTGTAGTAACACAAGTGTTTGAACCCTTGATGACTCCCTGATGAGTAAAAACGTGTCATTTGTTAAGCTTAGTCAGTCAACGCACATAAAAATAAGTGCAAATATATGATACCATTTCTTCAGCTCTTAAGTTAACTTGTAAACAATAATACATTAAAATGTCCGGAATTTCAATAATATATCGAATTTACTATTGACTCCAAAATAACGCCTGACAATGATATAATTTCTTTAACATTTTTGACTTAAAATGACAAAAAAATTTAATCTTAACACAATTACTATCGGACACATAATGACTCCGAACAATGATTCATTTTTGTCCGTTTTAATTTAAAATCAAAATAATAATTCACAGAAATGGCGGGAATTTAAAAATATTA